CAGTGACTACAACCAAAACTAAGTACAGTAACTACAACCAAAACTAACTAAAGCAACTACAACCAAAATTATCTAGAGCAACTGCAACCGAAACAAACTACAGCAACTACAACCAAAACTAAGTACAGCAACTACAACCAAAATTAACTAGAGCAACTGCAACTGAAACAAACTACAGCAACTGCAACCAAAACTAACTACAGCAACTGCAACCAAAAATAACTGCAGCAACTTCAACCGAAACTAACTACAGCAACTACAACGTAAACTAACTACAGTACCTATAACTGAAACTACTGATAGTAACTACAGTTACTGTCAGTAGTTCTAGTTGTAATCAAAACTAACTACAATGACTATTAACAAAACTAACTACAGTAACTATTAATAAAACTAACTACAGTAACTATTAATAAAACTAACTACAGTAACTATTAATAAAACTAACTACAGCAACTACTAACAAAACTAACTACAGTAACTATTAATAAAACTAACTACAGTAACTATTAATAAAACTAACTACAGTAACTATTAATAAAACTAACTACAGTAACTATTAATAAAACTAACTACAGTAACTATTAATAAAACTAACTACAGTAACTAGAGCCTAAAGAGTGTCAAAGATCAGAGCTCAGTCCATCCGTCCTCTGATTTCTGCTGATCTCCACCCGAACCAGACCCTGGACTGATGTTTGGAGTACTGACGTGGTACTGCAGGATGATGGTCCAGATGAGGCCCAGGATGATTGATGGTTTCCCATCCATGATGTCAGGAATGTTGATGTTGACCAGTTTGATCTGGAAAATAGAAACATTCTCACAACTGTCTTAAAGTCTCCCAGGTTTACTTTAATCTTCTAAATATTGCTAATTTATTCACCTATCTAAAGACACACACGACAAACTATCAAAACATTAGGTTCAAAACATTTAGTGTAAAACTAAACTCCGTAATAGTAAAAAGTGGATCAGGTTCTGGTTCTGGTCAGTTTGGGTTTTAAAAGGAGTCGAGTCTTTATTTACCGATTTGGTTTGGAGGAAGGCGAGCGCCTTCTGGATGTTGCTCCTGTGCTGAAACGTCCCCCTGCCTCGGTCACGGCTCTGAAAACCACACATCTGTCAGTGAGTTTGGGTCAGCACAGCTGCCGGTGCCGCTCAGGTTCTACAGGTTCTGCTCACCATGCGCTGACCGCTCATCACCTCCAGCAGGTCCAGCAGCTTTGAGCCGTCTCTGAAGTCGCTGAACAGATCTACGATCAAACATGGCGGCCTCCTCTGCTCCAACACAAACAAACATTGTTTACAACAAACAAGTCTTCAAAGGCAACATGAGCTGCGGTCAGTTTGAGTCCGTCCATCGTCTCGTACTTCTCAAATCATTGAAGGGACATCTGGAGTCAACCTGAGCCAAGATGGCCGCCTCACCTAATCATTCATTCCAAACAATGATGCCTCCAACTCCGAGGGTCCACAAATACTGAACTAAAATCTGCTGTGGTAGTAGTTGAGTCATCTCCATCACATACTCTGAGGGCTAAAAGAGAGATGCTTGTTTAAAGGCGACCGGCGACATGCATTCCTTCACTGAACGCTCATTTCTCTCATCTGGGGACTAAAATTAGGCCTGAAAGGTGGCGGGCGACATGCATTCCTTCACTGAACGCTCATTTCTCTCATCTGGGGACTAAAACTGGGCCTGAAAGGAGGTGGGCAACAGGCATTCCTTCACTGAATGCTCGTTTCATTCATCTGAGGACTAAAAGTAGGCCTGAAAGGTGGCGGGCGACATGCATTCCTTTACTGAATGATTGTTTCATTGATCTGGGGATGTAAACTGGGCCTGAAAGGTGGCGGGCGACATGCATTCCTTTACTGAATGATTGTTTCATCCATCTTGGGACTGAAACTAAGTCTGCAATGTGGTGGGCGACATGCATTCCTTCGCCAAACGCTCCTTTCATTCATCCGGGGGCTAAAACTGGGTCGGCAAGGTGGTGGGCGACATGCATTTCTTCCCTGACTGCTCATTTTATTTATCTGGGGAATAAAACTGGACCTGAAAGGTAGTGGGCAATATGCATTACTTCACCGGGTGCTCGTTTCATTCAGCTTAAGATGAAAACTGGGTCTGAAAGGCAGCGGGCGACATGCATTCCTTCACTGCTCATTTCATTCATCTGGGGACTAACACTGGGCCTGAAAGGTGGCGGGTGATGTGCATTCTTTCACCAAACGCTTGTTTCATTTATCTGAGGACAGTAGCGCTCCAGATGTTTTCAGAATCCTGTGAATCGTTCAGGTCGTTGCTGGAACCTGCTGCTGTCAGTCGGTGTTCTGACCTTTGACCCTGAATGCTAAATTTACCTACAGACCCCCC